TCCTCAGTCAGTACATGTTTATCTATCTATCTATCTATCTATCTATCTATCTATCTATCTATCTATCCAGACATTTGTTTGTCTCTCTCCCTCTCTCTCTCTCTCTCTCTATCCAATGTATCCTCAGTCAGTCCATGTTTATCTATCTATTCTTTATCTATCTATCTATCTATCTATCTATCTATCTCTCTCTCTATAACAGACATTCATTTGTCTCTCTCCCCTCTCTCTCTCTCTCTGCCGAGTTCTGTCTCTCTATCCTCAGTCAGTCCATGTTTATCTATCTATCTATCTATCTATCTATCTATCTATCTATCTATCTATCTATAACAGACATTCATTTGTCTCTCTCCTCTCTCTCTCTCTCTGCCGAGTAGACGTAATGTATCCTCAGTCATTCATTTTATCTCTCTATCCGTTCTTTATCTATCTATCTATCTATCTATCTATCTCTCTATCTAATATTCATCATCTCTCTTTCCTTCTTTGTTTCTCTCTCTCTCTCTCTCTTTTCCTCAGTCTCTTTATCCTCAGTCAGTCCATGTTTATCTGTCTATCTATCTATCTATCTATCTTCTATCTATCTATCTATCAGACATCTGTTTGTCTCTCCCTCTCTCTCTCTCTCTGCCAGTTGACATCTCTGTATCCTCAGTCAGTCCATGTTTATCTATCTATCTATCTATCTATCTATCTATCTCTCTATCAGACATTCATTTGTCTCTCTCCCCCTCTCTCTCTCTTTGCCGAGTCTCTCTATCCTCAGTCTCTGTTCTATCTATCTATCTATCTATCTTCTATTTCTATCTATCTATCCGACATTCATTTGTCTCTCTCCTCTCTCTCTCTCTCTCTCTATCCAATATTCATTTGTCTCTCTATCAGTTCTTTATTTATCTATCTATCTATCTATCTATCTATCTATCTATCTATCTATCTATCTCATTCATTTGTCTCTCTATCAGACTCTCTCTCTCTCTCTCTCTATCCAATATTCATTTGTCTCTCTATCCTTCATGTTTATTCTCTTCTATCTATCTATCTATCTATCTATCTATCTATTCATTATCTATCTATCAGACATTCATTTGTCTCTCTCCTCTCTCTCTCTCTCTCTCTAGACATGTGTCTCTCTCAGTCATCCATGTTATCTATCATTCTATCTCTCTATCTATCCATTCATTTGTTCTTTATCTCTCTCTGCCTATCTATGTATCTGTCTCTCTCTATCTATCTATCTCTCTATCTATCTATTTCATTTGTCTCTCTCCCCTCTCTCTCTCTCTCTGCCAGTCTCTCTGTATCCTCAGTCCAGTCTCTATCTGTCTATCTATCTATCTATCTCTATCTCATTTGTCTCTCTATCAGACATTTATTTGTCTCTCTCCCTCTCTCTCTCTCTCTTCCTCATCTCTATCCTCAGTCATTTGTCTCTCTATCTATCTTTCTATCTATCTCTATCTATCTATCTATAACAGACATTCATTTGTCTGTCTCTCTCTCTCTCTCTCTGCCTCTATTCATTTTATCTCTCTATCCGTTCTTTATCTATCTATCTATCTATCTATCTATCTATCTCTCTCTCTATCAGACATTCATTTGTCTCTCTCCTCTCTCTTTCTCTCTCTATCTATCTAACAGACATTCATTTGTCTCTCTATCTCTCTCTCCTATTCATTTGTCTCTCTATCCGTTCTTTATTTATCTCTATCTATCTATCTATCTCTATCTATCTATCTATAACAGACATTCATTTGTCTCTCTCCGTCTCTCTCTCTCTCTGCCAGTCTCTTCTGTGTATCCTCAGTTCATTTGTCTCTATCTATCTTTCTATCTATCTATCTATCTATCTATCTATAACAGACATTCATTTGTCTCTCTCCCTCTCTCTCTCTTCTTTATTTGTCTCTCTCTCATCTATCAGTCATGTATCTATCTATCTATCTATCTCTCTATCTATCTATAACATTCATTTGTCTCTCTCTCTCTCTCTTTATTTGACTCTGTATCCTCAGTCAGTCCATGTTTATCTATCTATATCAATATCTATCTATCTATCTATCTATCTATATTTGTCTCTCATTCATTTGTCTCTCTCTCTCTCTCTCTCTATTCATTGTCTCTCAGTCCGTTCTTTATTTGTCTCTCTATCTATCTATCTATCTATCTATCTTTGTCTATCTATCCAGACATTCATTTGTCTCTCTCTCTCTCTCTCTCTCTCTGCCAAGTATTCATTTGTCTCCTCAGTCAGTCCATGTTTATCTATCTTCTGTCTATCTATCTATCTATCTATATTCATTTGTCTCTCTCCGTCTCTTTATTTGTCTCTCTATCTCTCTCTCTCTGCCTCTCTACGTAATGTATCCTCAGTCTCTCTATCATGTTTATTTATCTATCTATCTATCTATCTATCTATCTATCTATCTATAACAGACATTCATTTGTCTCTCTCTCTCTCTCTCTTTAACTCTCTGTATCCTTCAGTCAGTCCATGTTTATCTATCTATCTCTATCTATCTATCTATCTATCTATCTATCTATCTATAACAGACATTCATTTGTCTCTCTCCTCTCTCTCTCTCTCTCTTTGTATTTGTCTCTCAGTATCAGTTTCTCTTCTATCTATCTATCTATCTATCTCATTTCTATCTCTCTATCCGTTCATTTGTCTCTCTCCCTCTCTCTCTCTCTCTCTCATGAACGTCTGTGTCCTCTCATCCAATATTCATTTGTCTCTCTATCTATCTATTTATTTGTCTCTCTATCTCTCTCTCTATCTCTCTCTATCCAGACATTCATTTGTCTCTCTCTCCTCTCTTTGTCTCTCTATCTGCCTCTTCTGTCTCTCTCTATCCAATATTCATTTGTCTCTCTATCCGTTCTTTATTTGTTTCTCTCAGGCTCTATCTCTCTATCCAATATTCATCTATCTATCTATCTATCCGTTCATTCATTTGTCTCTCTCCTCTCTTCTCTCTCTCTATCCAATATTCCTCCAGTCTCTCTATCCGTTCTTTATTTATCTCTCTATCTATCTCTCCATCTGTCTCTCTATCCAACATTCATTTGTCTCTCTATCTCTCTCTCTCTTTATTTGTCTCTCTATCAGTCCTCTTATTTTATCTATCTATCTTCATTCTATCTCTCTATCCAGACATTCATTTGTCTCTCTATCTCTCTCTCTCTGCCTAGTTGTCTATCCTCAGTCATTCATTTATCTCTATCTATCTATTCTTCTATCTGTCTATCTATCTATCTATCTCTCTATCAGACATTCATTTGTCTCTCTCCTCTCTTCTTTATTTGTCTCTATCCTCCAGTCTCTCTTGTTTCTATCTCTCTATCTATCTATCTATTTCATTTGTCTCTCTATCCGTTCTTTCATTTGTCTCTCTCTCTCTCTCTCTCTCTCTCTATCAATATTCATTTGTCTCTCTATCCGTTCTTTATTTATCTCTCTATCTATCTATCTATCTGTCTCTCTATCAATATTCATTTGTCTCTCTATCCGTTCTTTATTTGTCTCTCTATCAGGGCTCTCTTCTGTCTCTCTATCTATCTATTCTATTTCTATCTCTCTATCTATTCTTTATTTGTTTCTCTCTCCCTCTCTCTTCTGTCTCTCTATCCTCATTCATTTGTCTCTCTATCTATCTTCTTTCTATTTATCTATCTATCTATCTCTCTTCTATCTCTCTCTATCAGACATTCATTTGTCTCTCTCTCTCTTCTCTCTCTGCCTCTCTATCGGACTCTCTTGTTTATCTCTCTATCTATCTATCTCATCTATCTATCTCTATCTATAACAGACATTCATTTGTCTCTCTATCGGACTCTCTCTTCTGTCTCTCTATCATGATATTCATTCTGTCTCTCTATCCGTTCTCTATCTATCTGTCTATCTATCTATCTCTTCTATCTCTCTCTCTCTATCAATATTCATTTGTCTCTCTATCTATCCTCTTCTTCTCTATCCGTGTCTCTCTATCTGACTCTGTTTTCTCTCTCTATCAATATTCATTTGTCTCTCTATCCGTTCTTTATTTGTCTCTCTATCTGCAGGCTCTCTTCTGTCTCTCTATCAATATTCATTTGTCTCTCTATCTATTCTTTATTTGTCTCTCTATCAGACTTCTTTGTCTTCTCTCTCTCTCTCCAATATTCATTTGTCTCTCTCATCCGTTCTTTATTTATCTCTCTATCTATCTATAACTCTGTTTTGTCTCTCTCTCTCTCTATTCATTTGTCTCTCTATCCGTTCTTTATTTATCTCTCTATCTATCTATCTGATCTATCTCTGTTTTCCCCTCTCTCTCTCTCTCCAATATTCATTTGTCTCTCTATCGTTCTTTATTTGTCTCTCTATCCGGCTCTCTTCTATCTCTCTATCTATCTTCATTTTGTCTCTCTATCCGTTCTTTATTTGTCTCTCTATCTGACTCTGTTTTGTCTCTCTATCAATATTCATTTGTCTCTCTATCCGTTCTTTATTTGTCTCTCTATCTAGGCTCTCTTCTTTGTCTCTCTATTCAATATTCATTTGTCTCTCTATCCGTTCTTTATTTGTCTCTCTATCGGACTCTGTTTTGTCTCTCTATCCAATATTCATTTGTCTCTCTCCTCCGTTCTTTATTTGTCTCTCTATCGGACTCTGTTTTGTCTCTCTATCTAATATTCATTTGTCTCTCTATCCGTTCTTTATTTGTCTCTCTATCTCTCTCTCTTCTGTCTCTCTATCAATATTCATTTGTCTCTCTATCTATTCTTTATTTGTCTCTCTATCAGGCTCTCTTGAACTGTCTCTCTATCCAATATTCATTTGTCTCTCTATCCGTTCTTTATTTGTCTCTCTATCTGACTCTGTTTGTCTCTCTATCAATATTCATTTGTCTCTCTATCCGTTCTTTCTATTTGTCTCTCTATCGGACTCTCTTCTGTCTCTCTATCCAATATTCATTTGTCTCTCTATCCGTTCTTTTATTTGTCTCTCTATCTGACTCTCTATTTTGTCTCTCTATCCAATATTCATTTGTCTCTCTATCCGTTCTTTATTTGTCTCTATCATGGCTATCTCTTCTGTCTCTCTATCAATATTCATTTGTCTCTCTATCCGTTCTTTTATTTGTCTCTCTATCTGTTTATCTCTCTTCTGTCTCTCTATCTATCTAATATTCATTTGTCTCTCTATCCGTTCTTTATTTGTCTCTCTATCTGACTCTCTTTTGTCTCTCTATCCAATATTCATTTGTCTCTCTATCCATTCAATTCTTTCTTCCTGTCTCTCTATCTGACTCTGTTTTGTCTCTCTATCCAATATTCATTTGTCTCTCTATCCGTTCTTTATTTGTCTCTATCTACATCGGACTCTCTTCTGTCTCTCTATCCAATATTCATTTGTCTCTCTATCCGTTCTTTATTTGTCTCTCTATCTGACTCTGTTTTGTCTCTCTATCCAATATTCATTTGTCTCTCTATCCGTTCTTTATTTGTCTCTCTATCGGACTCTGTTTTGTCTCTCTATCCAATATTCATTTGTCTCTCTATCCGTTCTTTATTTGTCTCTCTATCGGACTCTCTTCTGTCTCTCTATCCAATATTCATTTGTCTCTCTATCCGTTCTTTATTTGTCTCTCTATCTGACTCTGTTTTGTCTCTCTATCCAATATTCATTTGTCTCTCTATCCGTTCTTTATTTGTCTCTCTATCGGACTCTCTTCTGTCTCTCTATCCAATATTCATTTGTCTCTCTATCCGTTCTTTATTTGTCTCTCTATCGGGCTCTCTTCTGTCTCTCTATCCAATATTCATTTGTCTCTCTATCCGTTCTTTATTTGTCTCTCTATCCATGTTTATCTATCTGTCTCTTCTGTCTCTCTATCAATATTCATTTGTCTCTCTATCCGTTCTTTATTTGTCTCTCTATCCATGACGCTCTTCTGTCTCTCTATCCAATATTCATTTGTCTCTCTATCCGTTCTTTATTTGTCTCTCTATCGGACTCTCTTCTGTCTCTCTATCCAATATTCATTTGTCTCTCTATCCGTTCTTTATTTGTCTCTCTATCGGACTCTCTTCTGTCTCTCTATCCAATATTCATTTGTCTCTCTATCCGTTCTTTATTTGTCTCTCTATCGGACGCTCTTCTGTCTCTCTATCCAATATTCATTTGTCTCTCTATCCGTTCTTTATTTGTCTCTCTATCGGACTCTGTTTTGTCTCTCTATCCAATATTCATTTGTCTCTCTATCCGTTCTTTATTTGTCTCTCTATCGGACGCTCTTCTGTCTCTCTATCCAATATTCATTTGTCTCTCTATCCGTTCTTTATTTGTCTCTCTATCTGACTCTGTTTTGTCTCTCTATCCAATATTCATTTGTCTCTCTATCCGTTCTTTATTTGTCTCTCTATCTGACTCTCTTCTGTCTCTCTATCCAATATTCATTTGTCTCTCTATCCGTTCTTTATTTGTCTCTCTATCGGACTCTGTTTTGTCTCTCTATCCAATATTCATTTGTCTCTCTATCCGTTCTTTATTTGTCTCTCTATCTGACTCTGTTTTGTCTCTCTATCCAATATTCATTTGTCTCTCTATCCGTTTTTTATTTGTCTCTCTATCGGACTCTCTTCTGTCTCTCTATCCAATATTCATTTGTCTCTCTATCCGATCGTTATTTTTCCTTCTGTCCGATATTTAAGACCTTCAATTCCTGTTTCAGTTCCAGTGAAATAGCGCTCGCAACATAGCATAATGTCAGTAACACATACCAATTTTCGCTATCACTTTGGCAGCACAAAATTCTCCTCTACTCGTCACCTGATACCGAGTCCTTGTTTGGCAAATGGTAAGAATCTTCTCACCATCAGAAGACGAGTAACAACCTTCTTCATTGAGAGGTCACACGTCCTATTTTGACGAATTATTATCTTGGAGTCAGGTCAGCAACGCTATGGAATTATGGGGTCTCCAAGAATACAGCAAGCAAAGAAACACAGTGATAATGACAGAATAGACATCGTTGGAACAATAAATGATTTGTTTTTATGGTTTATCAACCCTTCGTGGGTTATTTAAAGCCGAAATATATTTTGGATTGTAAGAAAAATTCTTCTTTTTTTTTAAATGAATTTTACATTTTATTTTGAGAATAATAATTTTACATTTTATTTTGAGAATAACAATTTTTACAGATACAAATGCTACGACTTAACACAGCTGGAATGTGGAAATTGATTCATAACATTCCAAGGGTATTCGCGTGTAAGTGAATGGATTTCCTGACTGGAATTCGAATTCAGCTCTCCGATTTGGTATTCCTAGCTTCTATTTATTACACCATCCGCACATCCCATTGTCAATACAATAGAAATGGTAAAATAACAAGAACTAGAATGAAAACGAAAAGAAATATAAAAACATAATAAAGGAAATCTATTTTCTTTTATGTGTTGTCTAGAATCATGGCTCTCCACAACTTCTTTTCGTTTGTGTTTGACTCCTAACAATCCCTCTTTATCTTCGCTCCACAATCCATTCACCCAAATTAATTAGTTAGGTCGTTCGATATTCCCCTCTTCCACTTTTTCCTTCAATATCTCGTGTGAGTATTAAAGTTTCCAAACCCATTTTCCTCATAATTTTTCAAGAAATTTCAGCTGTCACTTATTTTTTTAAAACCTCCTTTTTTGCATCGGTTTGTACATCCACCTCCTCGTCATTTCAAGTCTAAGAAACTTGTACAGTATTAACCACTATTTCGGATTATAGATATGACATAGCAGTTCAGCACTCTTTTCTAACAAAATATTCCTTTTTCTTAATACTTTGCTTAGTTTCCAGAAGGCATATTTCGATATTCCGCTGCTTCTGTAGATCACACTACCCGTCAAACTGTTATTACACTACCCGTCATCTGTTATTACACTACCCGGATAATTAAATAACTGCACTTCTTCGATTCTGATGTTTTCAATTCGAAGATAACACCATTGGCTGTCTATCTTACTGACCACATACATTCGATCTTCTGATAGTTAATACTTAGTCCTTTCTTCTCACTTTCTTTTGGTACGTTCTGAGTTCGCCTTCAAAAACTAATGCTGGGTAATAGGAAGAAGAGCAGAAAGAGAAGGAAAAAGTAAGAAAAAGAAAGAGTTAAGAGTGGAAGAAAAAGATGAAAAACAAAAAAGAGAAGGAGGGACACAAAAGAGGAGGAAGAACAAAAAGAAAAGGAAGAAGAAAAAAGAAAAGGGAGGGAAGAAATAGAGATGATAAAGTAAAATAATATGGAACTCGAGAACTACGAGAGGCACGGTGGAGTAATGGCTGGCGGCTCGAGTTGAGTAATCGGAGAGCTGAGTTCGAATTCCAGTCGGACCCATTACGTTCGCTTACGTGCTGATACTCTTGGAAAAAGTATGAATCCTCCTCTTCTACCAGCTATAGGTAAATAGCAGGATAGACTGGGTTCTATAGCCTTGGGTCTAGGAATTCAAAACCGGACTGGAGAGGGTTGGCTTCCGTCAGGCTATCTTGTTCAAGAACACCACTTCTACCGCGGCTGCAGTACACATGGTGCCATTACGGGAACTCAGTAACAAGATTTGATTTTCATCATATGCCCCGCCCCTTAACCAGCCTAAAATGAACTTAGTATTTTGTTATCCTTTCACCATAAGCAAGGCGATAATGCCACTAAGACGCAAGGAGGTTGTTGAGGGGGGGTGAAAGCGAATGAGAAGACTAGTGAGGGGAAGGAGCATTAAGAGAACAGCTTTCTGGAAGACACAAGATGGCGGTCGATGTTGCATTTAATTTTTTGAAGTTTATATGCCGCAGGGAAGCAAGAAAATGGAAGCGCGATCTAAAGGCAAAATGTACGGGAAAAGAAACTATTAGAATAAAAAAATACGCTTACATCTTCGCTATTTCAACAGTAAAAATGGATGATTAGTTGTTCATCTCGTAGTACGCTTAAATTCGTACTGTTGAGGCACCAAGGAGGCAAACTCATCGGAATAATTGCTATGAAAATATCTATTTAAAAAAAAAAAAAAAGAGTGAAACCACGTGACAGCGAAGAGAAAATTACTGATGTCCAGATGTCAAATCAGGACATCACAGAAATTTCTCTTGATTTTTTTTTTCAAGAGTCCCGAGATAATTTGCAGAAACACCAAACCAGATATAGCTTCAATAATCAATGCGCGGATGAATGGTAGATTTATATTTTGAGTGGCTTATCGTTGAATAATAAGCACTATTTTTATTATTACTATTAATTTTTTATCGTATTTCTGTCACCTTGATTTCACTTGTTTTTTATTGTGAACCGTCAATTTACGGTCATCAGTAAACAACAAAAATCTGAAATAAAAAATAACGCAGCTTCGAATCTTACCAATGCTTCATGTAATTAAAAAAACAAAATAAACTTACAACGATGAACTAATATATCTTCTGTAAATACGTATCTTTAATATATTCAATTATTTAAGTAGTCTGTCCTTTAATTTAAATTAATATATATATATATATATATATATATGTGTGTGTGTGTGTGTGTGTGTGTGTGTGTGTGTGTGTGTGTGTGTGTGAAAAATATATAGAAAATAGGAAAAAACTCGTTAGGTAAATAATCCAAAGTTCTTTAGTATTTTTGTTATTATTTTTAAAAAATAGTACCCGATAGAAAAGTAGAGCATAAATATAATTATTTATTTAAAAGTATGATTCCAACACGCTACATAAGAGTTCTCATGTTTTCAACTAAGCTCTGTTCCATCTTCAAGCGAGCTTAGTACTTTAATTCAATTTAATTCAAATAATTATATTGAAGTTTTCGTCTCTTGTTTTGAAACATGAGAACTCTTAGGTAGCGTGTTGGAATCATATTATATATATATATATATATATATATATATATATATATATATACCTGATTGAATAAATTACAGATATTATGTCTGCTAATTTTTAATAAAATCCATTCATACTCAC